TAATACAAAATGACTGAAAATGGCAAACTTCGCAAGGCTATATATTATCCGCATTTTACAACATTTCGCAATGAAACTTTGGAATATTACTAATTTTGTGATGCTCTTTCAAGCTGTGATAAAATTTTTGTCTAGACTTGTTGAGATCTAAATTTTAGTCAAAAGGTGAAAGGTCCATTGAAATCTTGAATTGCAAGATGGCATTATCCATTATTCATAATTGTCAAGTATTCTGAAATCGTTATTTTAAAAGGTGGTTTATTATTAATAAGAGCTTTAGTGCTTTACATTTTTCTCCAAGACCAAGTCCCAAAGTTCAGCATGCCCTCGGACTCCCCTGGAATATATACTTATATTGTACATCAGGTGTTTTTTTTTCGCTTTTGAATTTACTCGCAAAACGAACCCTAATTAATTTCGCTGCGAAATTTTCGCATTTAAAATTAAAGGCCCATCCATGCAGACCGGACGCGATTTGGCAACGCGACGCGAATTTTCAGTTTTCAATGACATTTAACTTCAATATTTTTCAATGTTTTTCAAATATTCGCAACCACTTAAGCAATTTTAGCTATTTGGTCTGCATATCTTGTAAAATTTTTATCCGTTGACGGTTTTATTTGTTTTGAAAACTGAAAATTCGCGTCTCGTTACCGAATCGCGTCCGGTCTGTGTGGGCCTTGAGGTCCAGACACGTCGGACGCGATTCGATAACGCGACGCGATTTTTCGATTTTCACTGACCGACAACTTTGATCCTAGTTTAAATTTTCCAAATATTTGGAAGCGCTATTGATAACATTTTGAGTTATTTGGTCTACATATCTTTCAAAATTTGCTCTCATTGGCTGTTTTATTAACCGGTCAAAAACTAAAAAATCGCGTCGCGTTGTCGAATCGCGTCCGGTGTGTCTGTTTTTTAATATTTGAAAGTTAATAAAACATGCAGCCAATGAGAGAAAATTTTAAAAGGTATATAGACCAAATAACTCAAATGTTCTAACGCTTCTAAATATTTGGAAAATTTAAACTAGGATCAAAGTTATCGTTCAGTGAAAATTGAAAAATCGCGTCGCGTTGACGAATCGCGTCCGGTGTGTATGGACCTTTTCACCAAGACAAAGCTAGCGTGCGTTGTGCCACTGGTTGCATAGATATCGAAATTGTGTAGCATCGATCACTATAATTTGGCACTAATGAGACCACGCTTACGTAGTTTAATTAAGATATTAATGATCTTGTTTACAAGTGGTTTCCCCGCGACACTATTCATGTTTGTCAGAAATAAAGTATAACAAATGCTGTTTTGTTCAATAAAATATCCAAATGATTTAAACAATTTTTAAATAGCTAAATACAGTCACTCTGATATTGACACTGATATTGGCTTAATATTTAACCCTTTAAATTCTTAGCCAATCAGAACTGCGGAAATCAATTGTCCAGAGATCGTATGTTTGAGAATTTGGTGTTCCGGAGACTGGGTCCAAATGTGTGCCGAAGTCAAAACATTCGAAATTTATTGTATTCGGCATGTTTTAATTTTCTTTGCATTGTTTGCTCAAAGCAAACGGTCGCTTTCCTAAAGTTTTGTCTAGTTACAGCTTATTTCATCAATCACTTACAAGGCTTAACCAAAAAGGTCATTTGCCGTATCTTGCGAGCGTTATTTGATACCTATATACGGAAGATATTTGCGGTCAAATTTTCAAACCGTCTGACCCAGTGGAGTTGTAGACCGTCAATAAACACACGACGTCTGTATTTTAAACGGTTTTTCTTCGAAGATGGCAGCACAGGCTTCGTGTTTAGATTTAGCTTTGGAAGGAGAGAGGCTTTGCAAAGCTGGAGACTGTCAAACCGGAGTGGCATACTTCGAAGCGGCAATACAAGTCGGCACGGAAGATTTGAAAACATTGAGCGCCGTGTACAGTCAACTTGGAAACGCTTATTTCTTCTTGCAAGAGTACGAAAAAGCGCTTGAATTTCACCGCCACGATTTGACTCTGACTAGAACTTTGGCGGACCGCGAAGGCGAGGCGAAAGCCAGTGGAAATTTGGGAAATACGTTGAAAGTTTTGGGGAAATTTGACGAAGCCGTTGTTTGTTGTATGCGACATTTGGAACTATCGAAGGAATCCAGCAATAAGGTTTGTCGAAATATATTGCGATTTAGTCGAAAAATATTATTTGTTATTGGAATTTCGTTACAAAATAATTCACCTCAATGCTTGTTCATCGCTACTGGGACTAGACGTCGACACTCGACTAGAATATTTTTGCAAGTTGAAAATAGTATTGACCGAATTTTTTTCGCAAATATAAATTTACTTGGAAATTCTAATTAAAAACATCGAACGCTATCAGTTGATAAAATATTTACTGTTAGGAAAGGCGTATCTAGGATGCATTTTTAATACATTTCAGGAATTTTATATCAAGTTATAACACATAAAAATCTTCAAGCGTCAATTATCACTTGAGAAGTCGGTTCGCCAAATACTATAATTTGACTGTTTTCTATCGACAAGAAGGGCTTCAACTGTGTATTGATTGGGTCTCCTAGTGTCCTTGTTGATTTAAATCACACGTTTGCCAATTAATCGCCACATTCTGAATAAAAACGTATTCTTTGCAACCCTGAGTGTTCAGAAATCGGATTGTGATCAGGATGTAAAAGCCTTGAAGTTGGGTTGGAGGACTTGCTTCAAAATAATTTTGCATACAAAAGGCAATTTCGACGTGGGATTGTAATAGCTTGAAACAATAAGAGGATTAATATTCGATAATCCTAGGATTTGAGGAAATTAATAAAATGCCCTTTAGTGGCGAAGACAGGAAAATATAAGCTTATTTTGCCTTAAAGTCGTCTTTGTTTATATTGGAAGAGTTTAAAATCCTGTACCACCTTTAAGCTGCGGTCTGTTCCTAATCTATGTTTTTGTAATGCCAAATGATTTTGCTCTCCAATTAGGGAATGTTTTGGGCAGTACCATCTGCCAATGTCTTTGTTCTAAGAGAAGAGACAATAGGTCAGGAATTGGTTTGTTTTATCTTCAACAACTTTTTAAACGACATATTAAGACCCTTTATATCTTTTGCCATGATAGTGCAGTTTGTATCTTGTTTATACCCATTTAACCCATTGAAATTGTCTGGCATTAGACAGAGTAAGATCACAAAGTAGGGCACATTTGTGTGCAAGTCCACTTATTATGAAGGGTTAACAAGACACATGAGCAGATAGTCTGATTAAACATTGAGTGCTGCCACTTCCCTTGACAAGTATAAAATCGTCTGGCATTAGACAGAGTAAAATAACAAAGTATGGTACATTGGGGCATTAAATACCACTTGAGGATTAAGGCTGCATGGTTTGTTCCAGAAAAGATCAACCATAGCCCAAGGAGGAAATTTCTGCTGTCAGGAGGTGAAGGGGAGAAAAATTAGTTTCTGATTATAATAGTTAGTGTGTTAGGACATCCTAAGGGGTAGGGGGGATACTTCCAATTTCCTTCATGGGAGAGGTATGGATGTTTTCTGAAATGATCCAATGTGCCCAAATGCACTACAGACTGTATTATTTATATTTCACTCTGTCTAATGCCAGACAATTTTACTTGTCAAGGGGAGAGCCATTTAGATAAACAACATTGTTAAAAGATATTAACCTTTTGAGTCGCATTGTGTCCTGATGCGCCCTACTTTATTATTTTATTCTGTCTAATGCCAGACAATTTTACTCATCAAGGGAAGAGCACTGGTGCTAATGGGCTAACTGGCCTACCTTCCCATTGAGTCGCATTGTGCCCTGATGCACCCTTAACTTTATTATTTTGTAAACTCCGTCTAATGCCAGACGATTTTACTCATCAAGGGGAGAGCGCTGGTGCTTAATGGGTTACAGAAAACTTTTATAATAATTTGAGCATCAAACTCAATTTTGTCATCAGTTTTCCCATGTCTAATTTGCTCACAACATGTACAAAAAACTTCTCTTAAAATGCAGCCATCCGTACATTAATCATAACAGGTGTACATGTTCCCCTGTTGTGTCACACCGATGTTAATTAAAAATGTTAAACCTTAAGCTTGGCCGACTTACTGGTTTTCCTGTTTTGTTTCTATTTTGAAACCGGTTTTTACTATTCAGAAATGTGCAATAATTTAAAAACCTTTTAGTACATAAACTTGCTATAAATAGTGTTCAATATATCACCATTCATATTACTGTAATATTATATTAGAGACAGGGTTATTATATTGGGAAAAACAAGTTGTAAACGAAATGTTGTCAAGATTTTTTGGGAGTAGCCATATGAATTTTCATAAATCCTTGGCATAGACAATTAAGTACAGTAAACAACATATTTTTAATATATAATCCCAGTGATTACTTGTCATTATTCATTAACTTAAATCATACTAGACATGGATCATCCATCTTATTGTAAACACAAGTCCGACTATCCTGACAAACTAAGCTGGAATAGCTAGGGTTGTGAAAAAATTGTATGATTAATTGCTGATCATCCGTCATCCATCAAAATTGTTTGATCATCCATCTTATTGTAAACACAAGTGCGACTATCCTGACAAACTATAAAGCTAGAGTAGCTAGGGTTCCGAAAAAATTGTATGATTCTGTCGTTATTTCTACTAATATGACAAATGAATACTGCACTTACAGACAAGTTATTTGGCAATACAAACAATAACAGCTGCTCAATATACAGGCCTTCAAGTCGACATGTCGGTCAAAGAACCGTCTGACAAAATGTTCAATGACTTTGAGTTAAATGGGTCGAACATATGTATTGTCATGATGTCCGATGACTTTGAATTCAGTTTGGCTTGGAGATAAGTATGAATGCAGACACAATTACAAATTACTATATTCAGCATAATTTGGAAAGACATTTGAATCTTGGCAACAAATTTCTGAACTCCTCAGCAAAAATCTTTGCATTTGATTGCACATTATTTTCCAGTTCACTATTTATACATTACTCCAATTCTCCATTTAACAAAGTTGAAACAAGCCTCTAATCATCAACTCTCATCAAAATTTGAATCAGTTCAATGTTGATGTGAGTTGGCAGGGGAATGCAAGCGAGAGTGGCTTGAACTCTCATCAACTATCATAACTGTTTGACCTGAGATTTACTCCCATTTCATCCCATCAATCCAATCATGTTTCCTGTCAAGACCTGTCCGGGATGTTGGATTCACACAGTCAATCATCTAGCTTAACTTTATTAACAGTTTTGAAACTGTGCTTAACTTTAAAGTATCTCCTTGAAATCGTCCCTGTTGCCTTGGATTATCAACTTCCTAACTAACCGCCGTCATCGGGTCAAACTTGGAGGAAAAACGTCAGACTGGTTGCCAATGAATGCGGGTGTCCCCCAGGGAACTAAACTCGGTCCAATTCTGTTTTTGGCGATGATAAATGATCTCGATGTGAAACCACACGCAACGGATATTTGGAAATTTGTGGATGACATATCAACATCTGAAAATATCACAAAG